CAGGGTTGTAGGACAGGAAAGCTGAAAAACATCCTGAAAAAGACAAAGGAAATCACTTCATTACTACTAACAGGAAAAAAAAAATATAGGCATATAAATTTCACGAATTCAATCTTTTGCACCATTCTTTAGTCCAATATTTGTACCTTATTTAGTGATTCAAGTTATCAAGACAGTTCAGGGCAGAGTTGGGCAATTACTTTTCCCAAAGGGCCACATGACAAACCGAGATTGTTGATGAGGGCCAGACTAATAGGCCTGTGAAGGTACATAGGTATGCATGCACACACATACGTAAATTGAAAAATAATTCACTTTCAAAATAAAAGCAATGCTATTGTACAACATGCATTGGCAGACAGTTATTTACACTTGATTTCATATTTCTCATTGACCTCACACGTGCCGGCAGGAACAACCCAAGGACCAGATGTGGCCTCATGGCTGTAAAAAGCTAACAGTTTTAATCAATTTAATTGGTAAATGGGATAATCCTCAATTCAGCAAAAGCAAAATGATATCAGGGCCACTGATGTTGGTTCGTCACTAAGCTGGGTGTTGATTTTTTCCACCAGAGTTTATTAGACTTTATCCTCTGGACTAGAGTCTTGAGAAATAATGGCTAGATGGATTTGGATTCCCATTAAGCCATGATGATGGGGTTTACTTTGGTTATGGCTCAGAATTTGTGTGAACCCAAATGTTGATTTACTTAAACAGTAATTAAGCATTGATTTAGTGCAAAGAATAAACCAGGCTAATAATTCCTGTACCACCTGTACTCTCCTCTAAAACATTGTCCCTCTCCATGTTTTAAACATTCTTTTGAGTATTCCTGTCCTTCTTACCTTAGATTATCCTATCCTTAGAGAAAGCTGCGGTCCAAATGGCAGACAAGGCAAGCAGACAGAGAAATAATGATGGTACAGCACCTTTCTTTATGTAATCTCTGGGCCAACTGATTGTCTTTTTCTCGGTCTTTGCTCCCCAGAATGTGCTAGCATGCAACAGAGCTAATTTCAGGCCTGTTTTGTGATATGGCAGAGAAGTTATTTTTCTCTATTCATGTTATATTAGCATAGTGCTCTCCAACAGACATTTTCACACTGTAAAAGGGAGAATCAAAAAGGAACATTCTGGTAGCCGATTACAATGACTCTTCAAAACTGTACAGTTGCTAACATGGGGGGGGAAACTTGTTGGATGGTGAAAACAGCAAATTCTCAAATTTTTCTCCTAACAATCAGAATTGAAAACGGTTATTCTAAAAATAGGTTTCTCGGGGTTATTATTTGTAATAGTTAATTGAAGGAAAGTGAAAGATACAGCATACAAATTCTAGCTATATACAGGCCATCTAAGGCAGCAACACTGTTTTGTTCCACATTCTCATCCTTGTTCAATGTAAAAGGTACATTGAGAAAGGAGAAATGAATTAATTATACTGCTTATTGTAAGATTTATTGAAGTGAAATTTGAAATCAAGCCACTTGAAAACAAACTTAAAACTCATAACATAAACATTAACAAGAGAGCAGTAATAAATAAGGAAACTTGGTGATATGATCTGAAAATAGTATGTCCCTGTGAACAACTATCTTTCAGGATATAAACAAGTGAGTTGAGGAGAATCACTCTCCTTAGGGTTCACAGGTACAGAAAACTTGGATCCCTTCTTTGTCTGTTGTTTCCTAATACTTACAACAAAGTTGATCACACTACTTGGCCCCCAAGAGGCATTCTAGTTAATGCAAAGGAAAAAAAGAAGTGAGGGAGTGAAGTAATGAATGAATGTGGAATGACCTTTGCTATAGTGGAATATCTGAAAGCAGCATGAGAAAGAACTGGACTGCACAGTGGAACTAGAGTCATTGGATATCCCGGTAGCTATAATGCTTGCTGCTGGCCACTCTTTCTGTTTTACTGAGCTGTTTGTGAAAGTTCAGGTGCTACAGAGAAACAGCTTCTACATGTGATCCTCCTCCGTCTCATTCTTTGATCTACAAAAACTGGGGAAGTTCACTGAGGAATCCTACTGCTTTGGAGCCCAGACAGCTTTACTTATACTGTGGAGAGGACTTAGAAGTGTACAGTAAATGTAAAAGAAAAATTTAAAAATATACATGCAATCTTATATTTGTTTCCATGTATATGGATAATTTAATATTATGAGCTAATTTTTCAAAAAAAGTTCCATACTTTTTATATCCAATTCAGCCAGGAGAGACTTGTTGCCATTTTCTAAAAGATTCCAGTATTGCACGTTTGATCAATTTTATGTAGTAAAATGTAGTACAAATAATAGAAACTCCAGGCAAATTTTTGGGAAGGAGATACCATTTTGGGAAGGAGATAATTGTTTCATTTTCTATTTATTTAATCCCAGTTTTTACTAACCATGATGCCAGGAACTGGTCAGGAAGACTCTTGCTGTTAGTTTTGTTGAATCATTTAGTGTTTGATACTACTGGCCATTCCAGTGAAATATTTGATCAGTATGGAACTTGAGGACATTGTTTTGCTGTAGTTTTATTTTATCTATTCTCTGAAGATTATAATTCAAGCATCATGGCTACAATCTGTGGAATTTTATTTACTATTGATAGGTGGCTTCTGGAAGTAAGTAGAGTTTTAAGATTGGACCTTTATGTTTACAACAGTCAACTGTATTAAAAAATTTCAGGAGGGGTGATATCAATTAAGGAACTTTTTGAAGTCCTGAACTAAATGGATTGGATGTGGTTAATAAGACCAATTCAGAATTCAAATGAGATATTAGGAGATATAACTAGAGATTTCAAATGCAGCAGAATCTGTTCTGAATGGGCTACTCTCCATTCTGTCAAATTGGGTTCAGAAATACTACTTCATAATATAATTTTCTTGTCTTTATGTTAATATATAGTGTGAACATAATCACTGTAAGTTGCAAACCATGGTGTAATGTATTATGTTAACAGAAGTGGTTTATTTAATAAATCATGATAAAGGAAAACATAACAGTATATTTTGGGAATGCTTCTGAATTTTTGGAATACTTCTGAATTTTGGCACTGCTTATGGAAAAACAAAAGGTGTCCCTGTTCAGTGTTGGTTTTGCATCAGTTGCAAAAATTTCTTCCTGGAGAAATTGAATCTGGCCATAGTGATTTATGCCTCAGTGAATTTAGATCAGTGCCACCTCCTCTATGTCAAACTGTCCCTGAAATGTCTAAAGAAATTCTTGTTGAAGTAAACCCTTTAGGACAGTGCTGGACAACCTCTCATCTGAAGAGCAAATTTTCTGGTTGTGCCCTGACTGGGGTGCTCATAAGCCAATGATGTTGTGACATCCATGGAGTGGATAAGGCTGACATTTTTGGTCATTTTCTGGTTTGGAGATGCCTTAAGGAAAAAGTCATAATCATAAGAGAGCATCCATTCTGCCTGAAATATTCTCTAGAATAAAAAAAAAGTCCCTGTAATTTTCCATCCTGCCAGTTCTGGAAAAAATGAGTGACTGGAAATGGAATTCTGGAGGTCATATACAGATCAGCTAGTACTCATCTAATTTAAAGGCAAAACAGAATTTTTGCATATATTTCTTTCTAGGAGTCTTTGGTAAGAAGGTAAACCACCAAATGATAAGTATGATCAGTCTAATTAGAAAAACATTGTTCTTCTCCCTCTTTTATTAGATGAAGTAATCAAGTTTATAAAGGAAGATTTAAAGATAGTTATAGAAAACAGAGTAGTAATGTAAGAAATCATCATGGAATGATGAGCAGCTAGAAGCAAGGAATGTGATCCAGAAATCAAGAGGCCATGGCACAGAAGGGAGATAATGCAATAGATTCAGTTTGTAGATAATTGGATTCTAGTGTAATGGATTGCGCACACAGAGATTTTAAGAAAATCTGTAAAGAGGAATGAAAAGAGCTAGAAATTACTATAAATATAAATTTTCTTCAAACACCAACATTTAAAAAAGTAGGCAATTTACATGAAGTAGATATCATATTAATCTGCAATTAAAAACACCATAGGTTTTGTTTATTTGGTTTATTGATATGAGGCACAAGAAATGGGATTTTTCGTGTCACTTTGAATTGGACTATTAGTACTTCAAGCAATTTAAAGCAAAGCACTTTCTCCTAACACTAATATTGCTGCTGCAATTCAGTATAAAGTAGCCACAGACTTCTAAAAAGAACTGTTTCTTTGTATTATTATGGATTCTGAACATAAAAGGGAAAAGAGGCTGCGTAGCTCTTTTCATCCGCCAGGGGTAGCTGAGAGGGAACGACATCAGCACTGCGGCAAAATGGACAGCTCCATCAGCATTTCTTCTAGCTTAGTCCTGTTAAATTTTAACGGTTAAAATCAATTGGGAATACGTGCCGCAAGAGTAGGGCGTGAAAGTAGGTCCATAAACACGATTTTTTTTTACGTTCTTTTTACTGACTGTGCAACCAGCTGCCTTTTATTCTCCAGTTGTCGATTTCTGTTCTACCTTCTTGGATTTTATCTAATGGGATCCTAAACGCCGATTAGGCTGCTCTCGTTTATTCTGCGAAGAGTCTTGAGAACATTTCGGCCTCCGACCTGGCCTAAGACTGTCTAATCCTCATACTTATCTGGCCCTGTGTCCGGAGGACACAGGCATCCACCACCTTAAGTCAAGAATCCCACGATGACTACCAGTCTGCATTTTTTACAATTCTCCCGGCACCTCTCCCGTCGCACCCCAAATCACTTTCTCAATTCCAAAGCTGGCAAAACTTTAGCATCCCTAGAGTTTGCCGGCAAAGAAAATGTGTTTAGGATCGAGATTGTCATTGACGCCCAACATCCTGGCGCCACTTCATTATCGTCCCCCCCCCCATTCCTCCCAAGCCAATCTCCTTCTCTTGGCCGCGCCCTAGAAGCGCACGTCCCCCGCCTTTCTGCAGCGGAACCGGCGACCCGCCTCTCTCTATATAAGACAGGGGCGTCGCGTGTAGTCCTCCACAAGCTCCAGGATGAATTTCTCTTCGGATTCCCACTATTTGGCCTCTTCCTACAGGAAGATATTCGGGGAGCCGCCCCGCTACTCCTCCCGTCTTGGCAGTTCGGCCACAGCCAGCAGTTACCGGTCTCAGTCGGTATCTCGCTGTAGCAACCGCGCCGTCTCGTATCGGCTGGCGCAGGCAGACACCTTGGATCTCAGCCAGGCAACGGCGGTGAATGACGAATTTCGGCTGACCCGCACCAACGAGAAGGAGCAGCTCCAGGGACTCAACGACCGGTTCGCCGGCTACATCGAGAAAGTGAGGCAACTGGAGCAGCACAATCGCCTCCTGGAGGCTGAGCTGAGCGCCCTGCGGCAGCGTCACGCCGAGCCCAGCGGCCTGGCCGAGCTCTTCCAGAACGAGCTCCGCGAGCTGAGGGCCCAGCTGGACGAGACGGAGGCCGCCCGGGCGCAGGGGGTGCTCGAAAGGGAGCGGCTGGCCGAGGAAGTGCAGTGCTTACGGGCGCACTGCGAGGAGGAGGCGCGAGCCAAGGCGGAGGCCGAGCAGGCGTTGCGCGCGCAGCAGAGGGAGGTGGATGGCGCCACCTTGGCACGCCTGGCTCTGGAGAAGAAGGTGGAGGCGCTGCTCGACGAACTGGCCTTCCTGCGCAAGGTCCACGCCGAGGAGGTGGCCGAGCTGAGCGCCTCCTTGCAGCCAGCCCCGCTGGCTGCCATCGAGCCGGACGCCACCAAGGCCGATCTGACTGCGGCACTGAAGGAGCTGCGCTCGCAGTACGAAGGGTTGGCCGCCAAGAACCTGCAGGCGGCCGAGGAGTGGTACCGCGCCAAGTTCGCCAATCTCAGCGAGCAGGCGGCGCGCAACAACGAGGCCATCCGAGCCAGTCGCGAAGAGATCGGCGAGTACCGCCGCCAGCTGCAAGCCCGCACTTTAGAGGTAGAGAGCCTGCGCGGAGCCAATGAATCTCTGGAGCGGCAGCTACATGAGATGGAGGAGCGGCATAACGCCGATGCGCTCGGCTTACAGGTGAGGACCGCCCGCGCGAGCGCTACTTGTTCTTGCCTCCCAAAGTGTCGCATGGTGATATCGTGCTGCCTCTAACGCAGATTTGGGCCAGCTAAGTTTTTCAAGCCTCCCACTCCCCTACTACAATTACCGCATTTGTGTCTTCCAAATATTCTCAGCAGATAAAAATCCAGTAGATTAAAACATTCAACAAAACAGTAGTAAATTTACAGCAGACAGTCCTCTGAAAAACAAAATCGCTTTTGCCTTCCCTAATGCCTATTAGATGTTTTTTTTTATCCCTATTCTACATTTTCCATTTCTCAAACAGTTGAGATGACAAATCAATCTGTTTTATTGCTATACTGCCGTTATCAAGACTAATATATTTATATAATAAATCACAACTTACAGTGAATAAGTGCTTTCTGATATCCAGAAGGAAACAATATTATTTTGACATTAACGACAGTTCAAATTATCCAGAAGAAGTCATCACCTCTCAGCATATTTTGAAAATGTGGTAACATGCAATTTCTTAATTTTCTATGCAATTGTCCATCAGTACTATATTAGCAAAACTCCTAACTGCTGTGTGTAAACAATGCTAATTCAAAACAGTCAACTTCCCTTATCCATTTTCATTGGCCGTTCTAGTTGGCTTAATGATTGTTGTAAACAATCACAATGTTCAGTGACAAAATGACAGGAAGGGTTGCATCAGGATGTCTGTCTGCTGTGGGCATCTCATTCCTTTCTAGGCACACCGCAACGTTTCTTAACGGTCACGCTGCTCTCCGTGGTGCTGAACATAGGCAACAATTGTTTTACTGCATCTCTTGAATTGTGCTCGTTTACTAGCAGGAATGAAACGTTTACTTTTTAATGACCGTTCAAAATTCCTGAAAATCAGCCATTCATTTTCCAGAATGTTTTTTATCTCTCTATAATGGACACATCTACTCATTACTTGATTAATCCTAGACTAATTTTTCACGGTTGATAATTGTGCTTTGATTTTTACTATATTTATATAAATTAAATATGCTACGCAGTAAGTTACTGTGAAATTGATAAAATTATAAAAATGGTAAACAATAAAATCAGAAAAGGTAGAACTAAAATAGGGATAGTAAAAGACACAATCAAAATAAAATGGGTATTACATTCAGAAGTGCTCATTTACTGCAAAAAGGTGTTTGTGTCACCTGGACCTTTCTGAAAGAATATTCCAAACACAAGTCCATTCCTGCTGTATATTTACTGTTTCCAATACTGCAGAAACATGTTTAAAACAATCATTGCTTTACGTGGAATGGGGTTCCATTTTCCATACAAAATGACAGTAATGAAGCTTTTCAGACATATTGCAGCAAATTGAATTCAAATAATTTTTACATCAGAAAATATGGACTTTCCTTTAAATTTTTTTAAAAAGTTGACTTTTTTGAATTAGCATTGTTTACAAACAGCAGTTAGGAGTTTTGCTAATATAGTACTGATGGACAATTGCATAGAAACTTAAGAAGTTGCATGTTACCACATTTTCAAAATATGTTAAGAGAGGTGATGACTTCTTCTGGATAATTTGAACTGTCGTTAATGTCAAAATAATATTGTTTCCTTCTGGATATCAGAAAGCACTTATTCACTGTAAGTTGTGATTTATTATATAAATAAATATATTAGTCTTGATAACGGCAGTATAGCAATAAATCAGATTGATTTGTCATCTCAACTGTTCGAGAAATGGAAAATGTAGAATAGGGATAAAAAATTACCTTTTGCAAAGAGGAAAAACAATACTCCATTACTAAAATCTGTTATGGGAGTGGTGCTTTTTCATACGTTCTGAATACAGAAGTAGGCTGAAAAGTGGTCAGGTTTATTAATGTTGCCAATTATGAAATAAAAAAACCTAAAGCATTCCAGAAGAATCCTTCAAAATGGGGGCATAGGCATTAAATTGGCAAATGCTTTGGAATATGATTATAATTTCACATATACTATATATTGGCAAAACTGAACAAATGGATTTGTGGTAATTAGCTCAATGAGAACAATAATGTGCCTCTGCTATAAAAAAGAAAAATCCTAAGTTATCAATAATTAGAGAACAAAAATCTGCAATATTGTTCTGATCTTATACTATTTTGTATTGTGACTGTACTTAGAATATGGTGCATATTGTTTAGTTCACCATACCTCAAAAGGATATAATTATAAAGAACATGAAAAAGGGAGAAACCAAAATTATCAACCTTCTGCCTTAAACAACAAAATTTAAAATATTTGCTCCTATGTAGTTTAGGGGAAAATATACATTATAGTTTATGTTATGCATACTGTCAAGTGCTAGTGTAAAGTGCATTTCTTGAGTGCTTTTTCCTTTATTGTTCAACAGATTACTGATGTTTCTTGCTCCAATTTTCCACTTTTCATGTTTCATTTAATCCAGCTTCTCTTAATGCACATTAAACATATACTGTACATTGAGTCACCATATACAAACTTGTCACACTCTTTTGCCAACCTGGAGTCAGTCTGTTTCATCATATTCTATCTGTACCACAGCTTAAAAACCTGACAGAGAGAGGAAGGGAGGGAGGGAGATACATTCAGTGTTTATGGCAAGTCTATCCAGAGAGATTTCAGTGTGGTAGTCATTGTTAATAGAATGGCCTTAAAGATCCATGAAAAGATTTTGCAAGATCAAGTATTAATTATAAAGATACAACATCTTATTTATAAAAATGCAAATTTATACATTTTATAGTGGTGAATTAAAACATGCTGCATGACATTTTTACATACATTCATGTACAATATTGCTGACTCCAATGACACTTCATTATGTTTTCTTTCTTGGTTTCAAGCCTGAATATAAGTTTCATTTATATTGGATATATAAGTATGTGTGTAGAGAGATCTTAGGAAGCCATTATATGTGTGTGTGTGTGTGTGTGTGTGTATAATGAGATTATGCATGCCATTCAAATAATGTTAATACACAGTCTCAATTTCCCATCAGTTCAGAGCTTGCAGAATAGAGGTTTTCGCTTTTGCCCAATTTACATAAACCTGTAACTTGCCTATTTTTTATCAATAAAAGATAATTTCAAAAGCATTAAACAAAAATTGGAATAATTGCGTCAAATAAAAACAATCACATCAGAAATCAATATTGTATTAACACTATTTCGTAGGTTTTATATCAGTAGAACATAATTAGAAACATACTGAATTCATCAAATTTTATTACTCTTTACTATTTAATTTAGTCTTTAAAAAATATTACCAAATGAAACAAATACAATGCCTGACCATTTCCTATTCAGCTGCCATAATCTATTTTTATTCAATCTTATTATAATAAAGCAATTGGAAAGAATGTTCTTATCAGCCCCAACCAACATAGCTAGTAATTAGAAGTTCTGGAAGCTTTATTCAGAAACTGTGAAAACTCCTGCTGCTTATCATTAGTTTAAAAAAAAATAAAGTGGCATTTCTATCCTAAAAACCTTATAGATATGTCTATTTTATACCTATTTTATTTGTTCAGTATTGAAGGCTATGTCTATAATTTTAAGGTGCTTCTGACACAAATAAAAAGGATCGTAATTGTAATTATACTGTTGTAATTTAATTCATTTTCCAATTGTTATGTGTTGTAACAAATTAGCAAAACTTCATTTTTTCTTGCTTCTGATAAAAAGGAATTAAACTATTTAGCAGAGTCTTTAGCCTTAAAATGTTAATGTTGAACTTTCTGAATTTACAGGATACTATTAGCCAGTTAGAAAGTGATTTGAGAGACACAAAGAATGAAATGGCTCGGCATCTGAGAGAATACCAAGATTTACTGAATGTCAAAATGGCCTTGGATATAGAGATAGCAGCATACAGGTAAACCAGAATTTGATTCTCAATATCTACATAGAATTGCAATGCCTACTATTTTGTAAATGCCCAAAATAGGTGATCAAATTTATGTTGCCCTAACAGCTTGATGAGAAATGACTTGGTCTGTTTACTTTAATGCTTTGCCACAATTTTGCATTCAGAGTCAAGGTGAATAAATGTAGCTCTTTGATTATTTTGTTAAGAGTGATTTCTTTTTATCACATAAAACAGACATCGTTTACCTTGTCTATGTATGTAAGTGTGCCTGAAAATCCTCAATTTCCATTATTAATAAAATCTTTTTTTGTGGTATTTGCAGGAAGCTGTTGGAGGGTGAAGAGACACGTTTTAGTACTTCAAGCATGAGCATCTCATCTCTGAACCCTACTTACTCTTTCCAACCCAGGCTCTTTAGTTCATCTGTAGCCAGCAGCTCCAAAATGTCATCCTCTTTCTATTTTAAGAAAGATGAGAAAGAGGATGCTAAATTAGCCTCAAAAATTTCATCAAGCCAGGTAGGAGACCCGTTTGCTGAAATGATAGATGAAACCCTAACATCTGCTAAAAAAACTGAACGAACAAACTTGGAAGAAGGAAATGCTATCAATCAAAAAATGTAATCACTGACCTTAAATACAGATACACCCAAGGGATAATAATATAGCTTAAGTCTTTAAATTGCCCATACCTGAATTAAAGTACTTAATAGCTCACATCAATTTAACTTTCTAATGTTTCACAGTAGATTATTTCAATAGGAGCATTATGTTCAATACTATCAGAAACACTGAGGCTCAAAGATTAATTTAGAAATACTCTAGTAAATCTTGTTCACCAACTGCATTGTTGTAAGCCAGACATACCTCCCAAATGATGAATTAAAGACAAAATAAGCATGTGCAAACACACACACACGCACTTATTAAATCATGTTTCTCATTTATTTCTGCTGAGTACATCTTTCAAGTTGGGCAAAACCTAGCAATCACATTAGTGAAATAAAGATTAAACTTTGTCTGCCTCGTAAAATAAAGAAATTGACAAGTCAATTATTTAATTTCCAGCTAATGAACTTTACTCCATTTTAGTCCTTCTGGAGCACAGAGATAAAAAATATAAATATTTTATTTACAGTATTTTGCTTTGTAGTCTATACATGTCACAAGGAAATACAAAATATCTAGGAATGTTAGGTAGAAAATACTAACAAGGTTTAGGAAGATGAACACCATGATAAACTTGCTGCATCACTGTATAAAGAAATTCTATTAGCACATTATCAAGAGACACATAATACATTTTTGATATCTACTCACAACTATTTGCAACATGTCCATCTTAAAAAAAAAATCTACATGCTGTAATCAAATAACTATGAGTCTTAGGATCCTGGTTAACTATTAATTGAATACACATCTGATCATCTCTGTGATTATCTAACAAGTCACTGCACTGTCCATTTTACCGTGTGCCATATTAATAGTCAGCAATTTTAAAAGTAGTTGTTGCTTAGAATCAATAGTGCCAGCTATTAAAAAATGAAAAGAAACACATGTTTTAGAGGTTTATATAAAACAAAGCTAAAAGAATGCACTCCTGTATAGTCTAGAAGCACAGTACTAATCCTGATTCAAAAGTAGCAATTGCTGCCGCTTCTATAAGGCACAATCTGCAACCTAAAACAGGGATATATATATATATGTTGGTTGATCATTAGAAAAGGAATGTAGATTTATGCCAGCTGCTTATTTCTGTATTATGGAAAACAATATGGCTTCTATGTAAGTTATTGAGATATGGTTTCTTAAATAAGGGACTTTTCCTAAATGTATTTTGTTATACATTCACTATTGCACAAATAAAATGCACTAGTAAATTTTAATGATTCTTCTATAATTTTGCTCTGACGGGTTAAAGTGAATGTAATTGTTCAGCCTTGCCAATCACAACTGAAAATCATATACATGCACAATACACACAAAAACAATTGATTTTTTAAATAAACAAATGGTGCTGAAATCTGATAAATAAAAATTCTTATATTTCCAACAAATAGCAGATTCAGCCCATGTTTCTGCGGCAAATAACACAAAAAAAATAAACTTGGTTGGAAGAGACCAACATAAAATTTCCTAAACAAATTTGGGAATTCTGATAAATCAGATTTCCAACTCCTACCAGAATTTAACTTCACTATGTATCTCTATCTGAACATGTGCCAAGTTTTATATAAGCATATTATTTTAAATTTTCTTTGAATGCCTTAAAAATTGCCAGCAGCAAAATTGCTTTCTGCAGAAATTCAAGACTGTATTATTTGATGTCTTTGCACTGATTCATCCTGTCACAAAGTTTCATAATACAAACCCATGTCCTATCTTGTGTCCCTTGAACTTACACACTTTTCTCCTCTGTAAGGCACAAATTAATAAAAAATGTACCACTTTAGGCAGTCTGTCTGTCATTTGTGCTATTTGAACCAAAACTTTGGTATTAAGAATTAATACAATTACATTACAGCCAATAAATATCTAAGTTTATTTGTGCGGAAAGGACCAATAACTAAAAGTGAAAGAATGAAACCATAAAATGTTTTCAGTTATAATAACTATGTGTAAGATTTCCACATTCCACACTAATGCTTTCATAATGACTGTAAGATTTCCATGTGCAAATTTTTCAGATGAATTTATATACGTATTTAATCTTACAACTGGAAGAGGAATGGCACAGAAGGGGGTGGGGGCAGAATAAGCTAGAGCCATCATTATTTTGATCTTGGAAGAAACTTCCCAAAATGGTTGTTTCTTAAGAATATGCAAAGCACATATATGAAAGGATTCAAGGTAATTCTTGTGATAATATGTTGGGATTGTCTCAATCTTATGGAATAACTAGAGGGAAACATTAATGTGAAATGTGGTATGTCTTAAAATTGTTATCAACATGATCCTCTACATGTGTTACAATTGTGATAATAGCACATAAAATATATATCATTATAATGTGCTTCGACATTGTGACAAATTCCAAAGGTTGAGTAACCAAGATGTAATAAAATATTATACATTTACTTGATAAGGCAAAATTTGGAATGATGCCTTGGGGAGATTTTTTTCCCCATGCAGAATAATATATAGGTGAAGGAAAAATAAACAAAAGAGAACAACACAAATAAGCTCCTCCAACACTGCACATATGATTTACAGATCTAATGAACTTCTACATGCTTTGCAATCAAATTAATTAACTAAAATACAACATACATATTTTTCATATTCCATGGTGGAGCTTCATTTTTAATGAAACAAATAGGACATTTCCTATTCAAAGATCAATTTGGAATGCAGTCTCTTCAAGAGAGAAATAAGAGACCCTACCAAAATACTATGTGATGTACATATACAATATACATTCTGAATTCTGAAAACGCCTCTCTAAACTGAAACAGTCAGACCTTGATCATTGTTGTTCTTAGGTATCCCATTCTAATAATCTATTAATGCAAAACGTGAAAAACATTTTGGCTTAGTGCTCCAAGTATAAAGAAGGAAAAAGTCCTGAAGGATTAAAGGTCTCTGTAAAGCCCAAATACAGATTTTGGAAAGATTGCTTTCTTGCAGTACTCAGCAACATGCTCTCTTTGATTCTGGAGATACAGAAAAGGCTAACGGAAACCCGTCTATGCCAATGGTAAGCATCTCTTAGGTCAGTGTTTCTCAACCTTGACAATTTTAAGGCATGTGGACTTCAACTCCCAGAATTCCACAGCCAGCAATGCTGGCTGTGGAATTCTGGGAGTTGAAGTCCACATGCCTTAAAATTGTCAAGGTTGAGAAACACTGTCTTAGGTAGTGAATTCTTAAAGTTTACCATGTGCAATATAAAGGCAAGCCTCTTATTTCCTGAAGATACTCTTTATTAGCTATAGCTAACTGCATGGTCATGAACTCTAGCTTTACAAGAAAAAAATGGCTTCAATTGTTTTCTTCATACCACTTCCCTCTGAAATGCTTCACTTGTTTTCTTTAAATGAAATACCCCTACAATGCATTAGTTTTTCGGTTCAGAACTGGTGTACCAGCTCTTGATTTTTATAGTTAACACGTTCTGTATAAATTTCAGCTGTATGAATAATACATACAGAAACTCATACTGAATTTGATGATGACCAGAACTTGGCCACCATACTGCTCAACAAAAGTTTGAACATTTGTAGGTACATTACGTATCGGTAATAAATATGCTGATTATCAGAAAAAAGCACTCCATACTTCTCTCTATGAACATAATGCTTCATTTGTGACAATGTTCTCATGAGTCCATAACAATGGGAGAAATCATGTTAATCTTTGCAACAAATTAAATATAAAGTCTGGTAGCATATTGAAGACTTCCTGACTCCATGCCTACTTAGATATTCAAATATATGTAAGGGAGCATTTTTACCTGACACGCTAGAAAAAATTTAAAAATGTAACAAAAGTTGCTATTTTTTCTATTTTTCTGACAGAAAACCCTGTTCCTCTGTGTTAATTCCAATTTCAATAATTTTCTTGTAACAGATTTTGCCACATTAATGGCAATAAGAATATTTCATTCTTCAAGGATTTGTGGTTGTTGTACGGTGGAACCAACAATTTAATAGTTGTAATTCACCCATTTGTCCAAACAAGCTTGTGTTGCAGCTTGTGGGATTAGTTTTTAATTTTTTTTAAACAAATATCAGGCAATGTAATCCCATGCCAAATAGAGTCAAAATAATCGTTAACAATTTTTCACTGCTTTTCAATACTATCATACCCTTGTTGTGCTGAGTGCGTCTATTGCTTATTTCTGATATCTGATGCATTTTTTTTATAATTTTAATATTTTTAGCTATAAGCTAATCAAATTCTTATTTTTCAATAAGACCATTATTCTGGCTCTGTTCTATAGCTACCATTCAGCCAGCTCCCAATTTATTATTCAAGTGCACTTTTATTACCTGGGGAACAAGTATACTGTTTTAAACATTTGGAAAGCATATGGTCCATTTATTTTCCCACTGACATTGGAGGTATAAACAACAGGGGGAATATATGTTCCAATGCAGCCCAATTCATTGCCTCATCTACTTTTACATTTACATTGTTATTCAACCAGTGATGATCTATAGGTAACATAGATTTATTTCTTTTCCTGTTCTAATATTTGGTATATTATGTATTTCAATATTTTTCATATAAGGCATGAGATATAAATGCTTGCAATTTTAAAGGGTGATTAGCCCCATTTTATCTGTAGGGAAAAATCTAAATCATTTTATTTCTAAACTGACAACTAAAATAAAATTCAAATGTCCCTATGAATAAATGCATGGTTTTCCCAATAAGACATTGTGGTCCAAGAGATCATCCCTGAGAACAGTACTGCAAATATACTTAAAGACTTTCGGATAAACTGTAGTCTCAAATACAACACCACCCATGGATTAGTCATGAATGCTGCAAGACCTACATATTTAGAATGAATTTTGTTATGTTGATATGTTTGTTCTTCCCTGAGCTAGGCGCTGATGACACAAGACCACTGAAGTATTTATAGCTTACTTACTGGTACAGTGTTAGTTTTTCTCACTGCTTTAAATCATTTCCTTAATTATTATGCAGAGCAAAAACAGTGCATCTCTTTAAATTCATTTAAATGAAATGGCTTTTTTTTGCTGCAGTTCTCATATGAGGTTTTGTTCTTTCAAACATCTTCTGAAAATTTAAGAAATTTTTGAAAATGTGGAATCTCCACTAAGAATCAGTCCATAGTGAAGTATAAGCAACCCATCCTGGAAAGAAAAAGAGAAATCATATGAATAAAAAATCCAATGTAATCAGCAAACTAAAAAAAAAAAAAGCAACGACTTGTATAGACAAGTTTTCTTATTGTACATTAGGTACAAGAGACAGTTTTATACAGCCGTTATGGTACCAGGCTAGAAACCAGGCAACTGTGAATTCTAGTCCTACCTTAGGCCCAGAGCTACTTAGATGATCTTGGGCTAGTCATTCACTGAGCCCTGGGAAGGAGGCAATGGCAAACCATTCCCCACAATCTTGCCAAGAAAACTGCAAGGACTAGTCTAGGCAATTGCCAGAAATCAACATTGATTTGGAGGTGCGCACACACACACACATTAGGTATTGGTACTGAAATAAAACATCTTTGGGTTAATAATTTTCTAGAGAAACAGCAAAAGACACAC